GTGAAAAAACTAAGCTAATTTCAAAAACGGATTTGGGAAATAAGAGGGCTTCCAACATATTGTAGGGTATCACATGGACGGCCCGAACGACTATAGCCTTTGCTTACTTGTTAGTATTTTATATTTAGTACTGCCAAATAATAGGTAATTTTAAAGCCTCTGCCAAATCCTTTTCCAAATTTTCTTAGGCCCACTTTGTGAATTTTGTGATATTATGAATGTTTATGTCAGTTCTAGAAACAAACTTGGCCTTAGCAAAAAGTTAGGTCGGACTAAATATTGGTACAACTCTCCTGTGATGTCAAAAAAAATCTGCTAGTTCTAACATTTTTCTAAATTTTTCATCACGATAAAAAAAATTCTTTTAGCTTCTCACCTTAGCTGTCGTCCCCAAGGCAAAAATCCACATGGTATCGTCGAAACCAAAATAGCCTCTACGGGTTTATTTTTTTCTTGTCTCGTCATGTACATCACGGAAAAAGAGTCGACTGGAAGTTATTTTGCTCCGTATTTGTACTGCCAAAGTGGTGTTATCTTTGTAATTTGTTCAATTTTTGTGTTATTATCGCTAAACTATTGTTGATATCGTCTTGGCAATTGTTGTTGTTTACATTCACATTCATCGGAAAATGTTTATTTCGGAATATTTTATTGCTCTCTATGTAATGTTGTTCATCATTGTCAAATCATTCGATCAATGTCAAAACGCACCACACACACTCGAACATGCGAGGCTTATCATATCTTTCATAATCAAGATATATGTGAACGTAATTGTATTTTTTTCTTTATACGCATTTGTATCTAAATATAGGGATTTATGTTTTTTTTTTTTGTTGTCAACTCATTATAGTTTTAGAATATCTGACAATGTTTTTTGACTTTGGAAACAATATGCTCATAAGAGACACATTTTATTTGAGATTATTTCTTGGACATGGATCTTCAAAGATAATATTTCAAAATTAAGTTTTGAAACCTTAAAAGACTACAGTGGAGGAAGAAAGTCATTGGCTGCGTCAAAAGATATTGTCTTTATATCTTGTATTTATGTTCGTCTTGTCGGATTCCATACAGATATGAAATGAACAATTCGCTGACACACTTCAAGTATGATAATACTTCAATATTTGTCAACTCGAGAGTTGCCATCACTTGGGAGACTCCCAAAACAATAAGTTTTGTAACGATAATAACCAAAATTTTGGTAAAAATGGTTTGAAAAACGAAAAAAACTTACATCCGTGTAAAATTTGCAGTTATTTGCAAATTATTACAACATTTTAAATCCTGTAACATGAGATTGTCATTTCGTTAATAATACCTTAAAGTACTCTTCAGAGGCCTCATAATGTATAGTCATTTTATAAATGGACGTCTTTTGAAATCTAGATGGATTTATTTAATATGAAGCTTCGATATTTTTCTCAACAATTTGTATTGTCTTCAATAATAGGTATTGACAATGGTGCCTCCTAATTTTCGGTATTCTGAACGTTGCAGAGAATCGGATATTTTCCATTCTCACGGAAAAATATCAATAAAAGTTCACAATTTGATATTGGCTCCATTCAATGGAACCTACCGATTTTTATTATTTTTGATGATTCAGATACATTTTCCAATCAATATTAGCTGTAATTTGGTGAATGGGATTCTCAAACGATACAGTCTAGCAATGCCGAATATTTCCAATGTTGATAGACTATTTGGTATAGATCCCCATATAAGGCAACATCTTGAGTTTCGGTATTTTGAAGATTTTAGCATCAATTAATAACTGAATTGGAATTCATTTCACACTTTTAGTTCTTATTCGATAAAAATGCAGAAAAACGTTTCAATATTCGTCCATGTTTTGGAATTTGTAATTTTTGAAATCGTAATGAGTAGAATACATCTCTTCGAAATATTTTAATTATACAGGGTGAGCTAAAGAACTGCAAAAGAGTCAAACGCCATAATTTTTACTTTTTTTCTTCAATTTTATTGAATGAAAGCAAAAAATGTCGGAAATACCATCAAATTTTAGAATAAGTTTAGATTTGTTCGAATTGGTCACATTTGGCACGAATTATGGCCTTCAAACTTCGGATGACCTTTTTGGTAAGTAAACACGATCATTTTGTGTGTTTACAAACTGTTGGACAACGAATGTTTTCCCATAGGACGAGACCAAATTCGGCAGTTCACCACTTTCGGCCAAGCGAAGCAACTCTTTAGCTCTTTTGAGTCTATTTTTCTGTTGCGGTGTAAGTTTTTGCACTTTTAGGAATTTCAATGGCTTTACCCCGAGCTCATTTTTCAATATTTGTCGAATGGAATATTGCGATATGTTCAGCTCACGAGCCATTTTTCGGCCACTGCAACGCGAGTTTCTATCAAGTCCACTTCCTTGACGTCGGGCTATGCTACCAGTATCACGGTAACGAGCGTTGGTACGAGACACAAAAGATTTATTCACATTTAAATGCTGGAGTGCTCTAACGATAGCCAGTCTGAACTTGGTTGCAGTTTTTCATCTCACCCTGTATATTTCTTACAAAATGCGAAATAAGTATCAAATTCTCTTTAAATTTCACACATTCCACTATTTTTATTAACACAACACCTAGCGCAAAGATGGGAAATATTGATCTACTCCTTCTGGCACCTCCCACAAAACAAGGTCACCATTTTGAATAACCAAATCGATCATAAAATTCGAAATAAGCATCCGATTCTCTTTAAATTTCTCGAATACCAATATATCCTTTAACCCGAGATCTGCTGTGAAAATGATAGATATTGGACCAACTTTTCTGGTGCCTCCCCAAATTTCTCACAACTTGTGAAACAAGTCAGCTGTTTCTCTCTACTAGAGATTTGATGTAAATATGGAATTTATAGGCCTTCTTGTTCTCCTTCTGATAATTTCCCTCACAACAGGTTAAAACTTTATTATTCGCATTAAAATTGGAAATAAATTCTCGATTTTCTTTAAATTTTGGTCATCCCAATTTTTTCAGTATTAGATGAAGCGGAATACTTCGGTCCACTATATCTGCAACCTCACGCACATTTCAAAGTAAGGACGTGGTCGATATAGTTCAAATCTGGCAGGTTGTAATATTTTTTTCAGACGTAAGTCGCATACGAAAATGACAATATTGACCACCTTCCCCTATGTGGGGGAGGTAGCAGAAGAAATGGTCCGATTTTTACCATCTTTATAACAGATATCGCGTTGATGGAAATATTAAGATTACAAAGTCTGAGTGGAATCGGAAGATGATTTCTTGTTTTATAAGCTTCGTGGAGATTCCAAATTTTTACCCTTTGTGGGAGATGTACTAGAAGGAGTGGACCGATGTAGTTCATCTTCACACCAGTCCTTGGGTTAATATTATATTGTGATCTGTGGAATTTGAAGAGAACCGGATGCTTATTTCGGATTTTTTGTTCGTTGTTGTTATACAAAACGTTTACGCCTTGTGGGGGAAAGAGAAATGGTCTGATCTCTACCATCATTATAACAGTGTCGATGGAAATATTGGGATGTGCCAAGTCTAATTGGAATCGGATGTTAATTTCGCGTTTTATGAGCTTCATGAATATTCAAAATGTTGACCCTTTGTGGGGGAGGTTCCAGAAGGAGTGGACCAATATAGTTCATCTTCACACCAGACCATGGGTTAATAAAAATATTGTGGTGTGTGTAATGGTCCGATTTCTATTATCTTCATAACAGATATTGTTTGATGAAAATATTGAGATTTGTCTATTCAGAAAGAAATCGGATGTTAATTTCGTGTTTTATTACCCTTTGTGTGGGAGGTACCAGAAGGAGTGGATCGACATAGTTCATCCTCACACCAGACCATGGGTTAATAAGAATATTGTGATATGTCTAATTAGAAGACAATCGGATGCTTATTTCACATTTTATAAGCATTATAATTACTCAAAATTTTGACCCTTTTTGGGGGAGGTACTTGATGGAGTGGATCGATATTGGCCATTTTCTTACCTGACTTAGCACTGACGCAAATGTTTGGATTTGCAAAGATGGAGCAAAATCGGATTATCGTTTCCCTTTCTATGCGGTAAAATATCTTTTTTTTTGTTGAAAATTTCGACCAATTAGAACCGATGTTGCCCATCTTCAAACGTTGTCTAAGTTCGATAATAATATTACGATATACTAAGTTTGGACCAAATCGGATACTTCCTTCGAAAGTTATCGTGCGCACCAGCCAGCCAGACAGACAGAGGGGCGGACGGACAACGCCAGATCGACTCCAAATGTCCTGAAACGGATTTGGTCGAAAGAAACATAGGGTCTGAACCCCTTATTTTAATGACGTTTTGGCAGTATCACTTAATATATACCCTCTGTTGCCATATGGCTGAGGGTACAATAATATTTCAATTAAATACCTGGTGGCTTTTGTGTCTTTGGCTTTTAATTCACATCATCAGAATGCTATTAGACACAATTCAGAATTTTGAAATTAAACCCTTCCCATTTTAGTTTTCATTTCATACCATTGCTATTTTTGCATTGAAATTTTCATCCAAATATTACATTTCAGTCATCTTGACTCCAATCGGCATCAGAAGCTATTCATCTCATTCAGAGTTTGCAACACATTTTTACTGGCCAAGTGTCATCACCCACCATCACCATTATCATCGCAATGTTTCAGAATATCAGTAAAAAGATGATTTCTGATCATCGTCAATGTGTTGTTTATAGCTTGTGGGTCATTGGAACAAATTGGTAAAGTGAAACCTCCCATTTGTGTGCGCACACCTTTCTTTCCATATAAAGACAATATCTGATGCACCATAATTGCCAAATCCTTTTTAAAAAGTTGCCGTCGACAAGTGTACTAAAGTATTGTGTTCCCTATGCGAGGTTTCACTGTCCCTATGTAGATTTTCTATACGTGACATTCGTTTTTTTTCTTTTTTACTAATTTCCTCACTAACACATTTCTTTGTTCATTGCTTTCCAGGTTTAAATGCAAACCAAAATGAAAATTTGACTACCACAACGACTTTGGGTAGTCCAACAACCACAAATGCTCCAGAATCTCCCACATCATCATCAACAGCAAATGCTGCCAGTCCTATTGTAGGAAGTGGATGTGGTGGCGGTGGAGGCGGGAGTGGAGGAGCTGCTGCTGGCTATGAAGATACACAATCAGTTAGTACCACAACAACCACCTTGCCACCCGACAACAATGAAGTGTGCGTAACACCACCGCAACGTCATTCGCTCAACTCCAATGATTATCAAACATCGACACCAAAGTCGTCCTCGGCACGTAGTTCGGCAGCAGCAACCAATTCTGGTGGTGCGGCGGCAGCCTCCACATCGCCCATACACCACGGCGCCAGCGTGGGCGATACTGTAAATAACAATGCAAATATTTTGACAAATGAGGAAAGTCCTTTGCCACAGACATTCAATAACGTGGAGTGTAGTACCTTTAATGAGTCACAATTGATGGCAACTGGCGTGGGAAATGTGCTCGAAAATATCACAGCAGCACCAGCCTCCGGAAATATTGCCAACAATAATGCAATTATCAATTCTGGCCTGGCCTGTGGTCCAGCAAATATGACCCCCACACAAAATCAACAAATCCTCAATAATTATCCTGGCATAGCCAATAGCCAAAATGGCTCAAATCGTAATTACAATCCCATTCTTATACCCCAACGTCAGTCCCTATTGCCCTGGGGCAGCCATTCAAGATCTTCAATAATCAATATTATGCCCTATAACACCCCAACCTGTTCCACCGCTCAAATGGAAAACAGCACGGAGGGCAACTTCTTAAGGCCAGGGGAAATTGTTATGCGTAACCTCTTTTCCGATTTCACCCAGCAGGCCGAGAAGAAAATCGAGTTGGTTATGCTGGAAAGTGCCGATAAACCCTTGTCCAAACTACTGCAACGCGGCGAAGATCAACAATTCGATCAGCTACTCTCCGCCCTGGGTAATGTGGCCGAACATTGTTTACCTTCGCTGCTGCACACCCTGTTGGCCTGGCACCGGCGCCAGCTATCCGATGCAGAAATTAAAAACGATCTCAAGCGCATGGAAAAATCTGTAAATGCCAATAAAACGCTGAACTCACAGGAATTGGATTTTCAGCTGCAACGTCGTGAGGCGGCGGTGGAGTTCATTTTCTGCTTGGCCCTCATTGAAATTCTCAAACAACTTTCCTTCCATCCCGGCCATGAGGACTTGGTGCGTAGCATTGAAAATCTGGCCTTTAAACATTTCAAATACAAGGAAGGTCTCCAGAATAATCCCAATGCCCATAACATCCACATGATTGCCGATTTGTATGCCGAGGTAATTGGAGTATTGGCCCAGTCACGTTTCAGTTCGGTGCGTAAACGTTTTATGTCTGAACTAAAAGAACTGCGCACCAAAGAGCCATCTCCTCATACCACCCAGAGTATTATAAGTTTGTTGATGGGCATGAAATTCTTTAGAGTTAAGGTAAGGTCATCAATTTGAATTTTAGAGATGATTAATTAAAACGCTTATGTCCTTTCATTTCCAGATGGTACCCATTGAAGAATTCGAAGCTTCATTTCAATTTATGCACGAATGTGGTCAGTATTTTTTGGAATTAAAAGATAAGGATATTAAGCATGCTTTGGCTGGGTTGTTCGTGGAGATCCTTGTTCCTGTTGCAGCGGTAAGTATAGGAAGCAAATATAGAATAAAGTAGTTAGGTGTTGTATCGAGAAAGGAAGAAATATCTGCTATTGTTTTCCATCCAACTGCCTGAAGAGAAATCCTATGTCACTGTTTAAGTCGCCAATCTCGATATCAAATTGCTCTTTAGTCACTTAAATATTTCATATCTAACCTAAACGATCCTACGGCAATTTGATGAGTTCTATTAGAGTTGTGGCAACCATAACTGGTTTTAATATTGAATTTTGAGCCAAAAAATCTGCAAAAGAATGGAACTAAAAGTTAAATTAAGTTCACCAAAACAAACTTGGATTATTTAGGCATTAATAGCTGTAAACGGCCGATTAATTGCTGTGAACCGCGTTATTTGTATAATATAAGCCCATTGTTGGCAGGCAATAACAGCCTGGTACTCAGGGAATTTAATGCCCACCATAAGTTGTGGCATTCCGACCAGAGGGGATCAGAACTGGCAGAGCAGATTGATTGCTGCATATTATGCACGCTCGTTATATACCTGCTGGTCGAATACACGAGAAAAGACCAAATTTCCCAGCAGAGGCGGTGGGATTAGCAAATGAGCGTGATGATCTCCATCGTTCCATCCCTACTGATCCTGGAATCAGTGATTTGACAGTGGAAGTCAACCGGTTGGTACAGGAGCATAAGAGGAAAAAGTGGCTAGAACATCTGAAGTGTTGCAACATTGGAACCGATATGAGTAAGCTGTGTGTAATGGTTAAATCGCTCTCAAATCCTGGAAAAAAATGATGATAGGACCTCAGTCACTTTTATCGACGTAGCGGTGACTGATCCGAAGAGGTGAGTCGATATTTTAACCGACAATTGGAATTGTGCTCCCCGAGAGCGACAGGGCGAATCGAAGAGTGCTACGTCGTATTAGATCTCTTTACGCCAAAGAGGAATCTCAGTTTACGATAGGTTATGTTGCAAATGTCATCCGGAACGCTAAGTCATCAGCGTTGGGCCCAGACAGAATCTCAATGGTAATGATGAAATAGCTGAATACGCCGGGGATTTGAGTACCTGACGAAAATTCTCAACCTATCGCTAGCCACCCACATAGTTCCCGAAGCCTGGAAAATTGGTCAGGTGGTCCCGCTACTGAAGCCAAATAAGAATGCCAGCAAAGGCGAATCGTACAGGTCGATTTCGCTGTTGTCTAAGACTTTTGAGGCTTTACTCCACCCCGGCACATATGACTAGAGGATTGAACCAGAACAAGTCGTGTTATAGCCCTTGGTAGTCCTTGACATATCAAAGGCATTTTATACCGTCAACAACGCCATACTGTTTGAGGAAGTAAGTAGAGAGAACTACCCTCTGGCCAAGTTGGAAAAGTTAGATAATCAAATATAAGTGTACGTGGAATTCCGAAATAAGAAGTCCAAACCCCGTAGCGGGAAACAGGGAGTTCCCCATTGTCGGGTGATATCTCGGGAACTGTTAGCAACCCCCATATGGTATAGAAATCGTAACGTATGCAGATGATTGTACCATCAAGCATTGGTCCCCGGTGTTGATGGCATATGCGTAATGTTGAACACATATCTCGCGGAACTTGACGCCTACTTCCACGTGAGGAAAATATCCGGCATTAAATCAACGGCCACACTCCTTATCACATTGTCTGTGATGTGAGAACAGATCTGAATGTGCAGGTCGAGGGGAATACAATTTCGACCACGAACTATCCAAGATTTTAGGGGTCACTTTCGACAGCATGTCCAAGTCATCTGAGCGAGGCACAGCTATCTGCGATAAATGAAAAATATGAAGAAGATCCTCGCTAGCCGGCAACATTTGGTAACGTGATAGGTAGAAGATCACTGGCTACAGTCCGTTAAAGCAAAATACAAACATCTATATGTACTACTGCAACAACAACAACAATCCAGACCTGCCAGAATGCTGCCCTGAGAACTGAGATAACATGAGAAGGTGAAGGTCCTTTTCGTACGTCAGCATAACCATATGCTTTTGTTGCCATACCTGCCTGGGTGTTATAGTGGGAGTCATTCATTAAAACTCCCCCACCGCGGCCAGGTGCCAGGAAGGATATACATGAACTACAGAGGGAGGAACAACACTATATAGGTAAGGGTACATAAGCAGCTTGACATTATATTAATGTCAAATTATAAGGAAAAACCATGGCAGGATTCGAGGGCGGCTCTGACATTCCTTTATGATATATTACAAAGTACGTCATGTAAAAACTTCAAACTGCTTATGTACCATCACCTTAGAGGGAACCTCTAGATCAAAAATCCTGTCAGGCAAGTCGGGGTGTTATTCATACTGATAAAGTCACAGATGCCACCAACTCCTAATCGACTGCCTAAACAATCCAGGGAGTTTTAGCCCAATTATTTTCAGGTTGGTGCAGTCGTCTGAACTCTTACTGGGCACAATTTGAAGAAGATGTGCGTAACGTCTATATCCTGGCCGCTTAAATTCCATAAGCAAATACGTATCTAACGACTTTTAATGACCAAAGTCTTCAGTTGTTAGATTGTTTGTGCTTAAGATAACTGTCGATGTTCAGAAAGGACAAAGGATCTGAGGAGACTTGTATTCGAAATTAGACCTACGTGATGTTGGTTAGAAAATGCATAAAAGAAAATACTAGAATTTTTTAAAGATAGAAAATATATCTGCCACCCGACAATTTATATTGTTGGGTTTAGGGTTTTGAGAGTTAAGTTAAATTGCGATCAAGTCGATTCTTTACAATACAACGTATTGTCCTTTTCCATGACTACTCTTAGATGTCGAGTCGATCTCCTCGGTTTCCATTAGATTGGGTCGCATGGTAGGCCTGATTGGTCTCGGAGTGCGTACACAACACTGTACATTTAGGTCGCTTCTATCCGGTTTTTTTTTAAATTAAAAAAAAAAAACAAAGCCAACAATATTTTTGTAATTTAAAAGAATAACTAAACAATTGTCTTTTAAATTCTATTTTCTTTCAGGCTGTCAAAAATGAAGTCAATGTTCCTTGTGTGAAAAATTTCGTCGAGCTATTGTATACGCAAACTCTGGATGCTTCGACCAAGTCTAAACATCGTCTTGCCCTTTTCCCGCTGGTAACTTGCCTGCTATGTGTGTCGCAAAAAACATTCTTTCTAACCAATTGGCATTATTTTCTGGCGATGTGTTTGAGTAATTTGAAAAATCGTGATGCCAAAATGAGTCGAGTGGCATTGGAATCGTTATATCGTCTCTTGTGGGTTTATATGATACGTATCAAGTGTGAATCGAATTCGGCAACGCATTCACGCCTGCAAAGCATTGTGAATTCTTTGTTTCCCAAGTAAGTTGATGCAGCTATTTTGAAAATTATCTCACTAATTGTGCATTCTTCATCACTTTTTCAGAGGCTCAAAAGGTGTTGTGCCACGTGATACTCCATTGAATATTTTCGTGAAAATTATACAATTTATTGCTCAAGAACGTTTGGATTTTGCCATGCGTGAAATTGTCTATGATTTGTTGTGTGTGGGCAGGCCAATTAAGGTAAGTGAGGTGGGAAATATGTTATGCCTTAAGTAAATTATGTGATGCAATTGTGGATTTATATTCGATTACTTAAAATGTTAATAAAGGGGCCCTGCATTCCATTAATTTCCTGTAAAGCAAAGTCATGCCCTTCCGTATAGTAAATATGATATTTTAAATTCTGATTAAGATAGGTGATCCGCTGTTTCGTAGTCTTTTGAATGTCTGCAGAACGCCATTAATAAAATTAATATAAAAAATTGGAGAAAGATTTAAAAACCTGAAATTTTGTTTTCGCACTTAATTAAGCAATAATTAGAATTTCGGTCTGATACAATATCAGAGTATCTTCCTTTTCAGCTAAATTATGGTGGTATATTAAGAAAATAGATAAGAAGTATATCGACGTTTACATACTTAAGAAACCCAAAGAAAAGAAATCCATTTTCATGACTTTAAATTTTCGGTTTAAGATTGGTTGATCCTTACCGTTTCGCAATACTACTGATCCCAAAAGGGGGATTTTTGGTCCTTTTTTCAAAAATTATTAAAAACTCCCCTTAAACGGAATAGTAACATGTTAGGATATTCAACGAAATTATTTGTTATAAAATTCTACTACAAGTCTTAGGATATATTAAAACTCTGAAACTTATTTCAATTCTTGGATGGAGTTAGGTTATGCCTATCAACGGAAGCTAAGTACATCGGTATCATCCTTGACAAAAAAAAAAAAAAAAAAAAACTGAATTGGAAAAGGAATATCGAAGGGCGAGCGAAGAGAGGCTAAATCGTACACTACTCTTGCAGAAACTCAACTCAAGCTGGGGACTTAAGCCACATATCAATAGTTCGTCCTATTCCAACTTATGGAGGGCTAGTATGGTGGCAATCTTTGTGTAAAACTTCCTTCATCAAAAGCAAAGAGTACCATCGTTACTAATTAGTGTTTTCGTAGGGGAACAGGCTGCCATATGTGCCCTGTGGCCCAATGAACTAGGTCAATGGCGGAGTCAGTTCTTTGGACACGCTGTTATTCTTAAATATGTGGAGAGTGATTTTATATCACCTAGGAAAAGTTTCGAATCAATAGACATCCATATACGTAACAGGAATACCTGGACCCGGAACACTCCACATTTTAACCATATATACCGATTATTTGAAGATGGAAAGTGGAACGGAGGCTGGGGTCTTTCGCGAATGCTTGAATATCCGGAGATTAAACACCGACTGCAGCTTTTTTCAGGCTGAAATCTTTGCTATGAGGAACGTCATGGAGCTGCAGAAAAAAAGAATCAAAGAGTTGAGTAGACCGCTAACTATATATGTCGATGGTCAGGTGGCCTTGAAGGCTTTTAATTCCTTTACAATCAAATCTATGACTGTTCTGGAATGCTCTGGAAAAGTTCTGAAAGTCTGGCAATGAATCAACATATGAATTTGCCAGACGCGGATCTGAGTCAGTAGATTAAGAGATCGACAGTTCAGTGAAGCCATCCTTATGCCACTTCTCCCAAGTATTACACAAGCACTACCTTGGGAGATTCCATCAGAACTGGCTGATTGGAAGGGAATGTAATGTCTCCAAGAAAATATGGCCAGTGATCTCCGAGCGGAGATCAATGTCTCATTGGCGAAATCTGACCTAAAGCTTATGGTGGGTCAAACTACGGGTCACTGTAACATAAGGGCCAAATACTGCAGACTCTGTCAGGACGAGGAGGAATCCGAGACGGTAGAGTACTTACTCTACCATTGTCCAACTCTCTTTGGAGTCAGACAGAGGCCAATTGATATGCAAATTCTGCCTGAACTGAACCAGCAGCTATGCTTCAGTTAGGCAGAAGACTAAGATTTCTAAAGACAACACGTTGATCACAACGTAGATATACAGTCATAAATTGCTTCTTCCTATCTTTTAACTCCTTCTCTATTTTCTTACTTCTCCTTCTTTCCTTTCTCAAATAATGCTTCTTCAAGTAGGATGAACACAATCAACCAGCATGTCACCTAATGGAGTGGTTGTTCAAACAGGCATGCATGCTTTAATCTAACCTAACCTACTTTAACTCAACATCATATTTATACCCTACAACACTACAAAGACATAGAAGTGTAAAGATAGGACAAGACAGAGTCAAAACATGGCAACCCTGTGAAAATACCTCTGTTGTTACGATATCATAACTACATAGTCAGCAATGTTAACTGATTTAAACCGCTAAAGCAATATGCAAATTTTTGGAAAGGACTATGGAATAAAATTTCGAAACAAAAATTTTGGATTTTTCAAATTTTTATTGGTTATTTGTTTCTGTAACTGTGGTTTTTATATTAACATGTCTCTGCCATGAGCTGTTACTCTATGTATTGTAGACACAAACCATTTGCTCAAAATGCATTTTGTCTAGTCTTTACCATTTTAGGTCTTTGAACACTATGTGTTGGGGGTATTATAAGTTTGATTGGGCCAAAAATTATGTAACACCACGAAATATTGGTTTCCCACATAGGAAAGTATATATGGATCATCCTAGCTCGCCGAGCTGAGTCGATCTAGCTATGTATGTCCGTCCGTCCGTCTTCGAAATTTGGAATGGAGGTCGGGGTTGGGCCAGAATAGAACCCTATTTCTTTTTGAGATGATCGCCAAATGTTTAGGGGTTGAAATGGACCAAATACTGAAAAAATGTCGGATTTTGCAGTAGCTATACAGGTCGCAATTATAGACCAATCGACGCGGAATTTCGGATGTAGCTAGAGTTTAGGACGGGGAAGAAGCCTACCAATTTGGGTGGTCATCGGATAATATTTAGCGGGTAAAATAGACCATATATTTTGTGTTGAAAAAATTCAACATTTTTCATTAAACCGTCACAAAGCCATGACAAGGTTACTTCTGACCTTTACATTGATGTTAACATCCAACAAATCGGATATATAGCAAAATATGTGCGATATATATGTTTATCAAAGAAGATATGCTTGAAAGATCTCGAGAACGGCTGAACCGATGTCGAGAACGGCTGAACTGATTTCGACAGTTCTCATTAATTCTTTCCTGCCAAGAAAGAAAAAACGTCTATAAAAATCGCATAAAAATATCTCTCTAAAGATGAAAATATTGATTTTGTAAAATTTTCTCATATTTTTTCAATTTTGTCATATTTTTGGCATATTTTCATTTTGAATTCAACATTTGGTAATATTTCTACAGTTAACAAAACTAAGTAGTTATGACATCCGAATATCATATACAGATCGCATTTATGGCCCGATCCTTACGAAATTTCGCATGGGGATAAGATGAGGGCCAGAATAGAAGCTTACTCTTTTTGGAGGTGATCGCCATATATTTAGGGGTTGAAATGGACCAAAAAACTGCAAAATTGTCGGCAGGTCGTAATTATCGCCCGATCATCACGCACATTTGAAAGGGGGTTACCGGACATTGCAAAAGCCAAGCAGTTTTGGATGGCCATCCAAAAATATTCAATGTATGAAATAGTTTGCCAACTTTTGTAGACAAAATACGAAAATGTCCATTCCAGAGACTTTTTAGAGAATTCACAAATACAGGAAAGACGCACTTCTGACTATTTCGTTAACGAATATAGTCAAATGTCTGTATCTCATATAGATGCGTTTCAGTCAAAAACCAATAATAAATGTTAATCTTTTGCCACTTCTAAGAAATTATAGGTCTTTGGGAAATATTGGTTCCAGATCTAGGAAGACCATTTAAGTGCAACATCTACCAATAAATTGGAAATGAGCAAATTAGTTTAAGTTGCTATTATTCGAAAATTAGAGAACGAAGCCTGATGGTTTTCTTTTATAATTTGTCACAATATCTTCTGGAATTCTTTCAAGTATCTCGCCTATATAAACTGTATCGTTTATTATAGTGTTGTAGGGTATCCAACGGTCGACCCCGCTCGACTGTAGCCTTTGCTTACTTGTTTTAGGTTAAAGTTATGTTTCATATTTCAATTCAATTTTCCTGCAAAACATAATTTTAAAAGGATAACGTCAAAGACACAAATATTTTCCATCGAATTTCACTATAAGTCGCCATAGAATATTTTTGCCTTGGAATGGGCCAATATAGTCCATTTTGTATATATATATATATATATATATATATATATATATATATATATATATATATATATATATATATATATATATATATATATATATATATAATATTTTGTTGTTGCAAAATGGTCAGGCTTATCCCTTTATTGTTGTTTTTATAAAAACAACGTTTGTTTATCAGTGGAGAACGATGGTAATGTTTACCAGGGGGTAAGGCAGGGAATTCCTAGGTTTCGGAAGGAGCCACCAATCCTCATCAGTTCCCTTGTTTTTGTCTGGGATATTCTCCCCAGAAGTTATTTTAAAAATAACTTCTATGACAAAAAACATTCTCCATTCTCCACTGATAAACAAACGTTGTTTTTATAAAAACAACAATAAACGGATAAGCCTGACCATTTTGCAACAACAAAATACTACGGTATCCCGAACAAATAAGCCACACTGTTCTATATATATATAATATAATTTTTTTAGGTCCGATACAAAATGGACTATATTGGCCCATTCTGTCGGAATCTATTCCATAAAGGGTCAACAATTTGAATAATCATGGCTGAGGATATACATTTATCGGCAAAACCGACAGATTCTTTTTTAACTAGTTTTTTATACCCTCCACCAAAAAAAGTATTGAGGGTATATTAAGTTCGTCATTCCGTTTGTAACTCATCGAAATAATCATTTTATCAGCGTAAAATTCTAAGACGATTTAGTCCGTCCATCCGTCCGTCCGTCTGTTGTATTCACACTACAGTCGAAACGAATTAAGATAGGAAGCTAAAATTTTGCACAGATCTCTCTTTTGTCTGCAGGCAGGTGGTGCACGATGGTCCACGATATCGTATATCCCCCATATAACTGTACCCCCCTATATTCGGTGTTTTGATGATGTTGGCCACATTTTTCAACGGAATTGTCTGAAAATCCATACAAGGAGTTCCTTATGGGTACTTTATACCTCGGAAGAGTATTATCTATATCGGTCCACGATATCGTATATCCCCCATATAACTGTACCCCCGTATATTCGTTGTTTTGATAACTTTAAACACATTTTTCAACGGAATTGTCTGAAAATCCACACACGGAGTTCCGTGCGGGTCCTTTTACCACAGCACAGAATTATCCATATAGGTCCACGATATCGTATGTCCCCCCCCCGATATTCGATATTTTGATGATTTTACCCACTTTTTTCAACGGAATTGTCTGAAAATCCACACAAGGAGTTCCATGTGGGTACTTTATACCTCAGCACAGAATTATCTATATAGGTCCACGATATCGTATAGCCCCCATATTTTAGCCACATTTTTCAACGGAAATTGTACACAAGGGGTTTTTGTGAGCACTTTATCCCCCGACAGAGAATTCTTTATATAGGTTAATGATATCGTATAGCACCCATATAACGGTACCCCCAATATTCGGTATTGTGATGATTTTAGCCACATTTTCAAATCGTATTGTCTGAAAATCCACACAAAGAGTTCCTTGTGAGTACTTTACATCCAGACATAGACTTGTCTTAATAGGTCCACAATATCATATATACCCCCATATATCGGAACCTTCCTATAATAGATATTGTAAAGATTTAAAAAAAAATTAATGGATTTTATTTTTTTGAAAATTTTCTAATTCGTTCCAAATGGTGGAGGGTATTCAAAGTTCGGCCTCGCCGAACTTACTGCTTTTTTACTTGTTTTTATGATGTTTTGCGATGTAATGTTTATAAAAGCAAATGTCTTTAGTGTCGAAACTCTCTCTCTCTCTCTCTCTCTCTCTCTCTCACTCTCGATATCTCAAACCACCCTTTGCATTCAAAATTTTATGTATGAATAGTTTGTGGTTTAAAAAAAAAAATAATAACACAAATTCAAGAATATGCCAGGCACAGCTGTCCATGGAAAAATCAGGAACATGCCAAATTTAGTCCGCATACACGAAGAGTTTTCTTTCGGATTTATAAATTTCATAGCAAAAGCCAAGCGTGTAGGAAACTGCAATATTTTTAAGTTGAGTGAAGTTTCTGTTTCCATACTTCCCCATAATAATGGTATCCTCGCCTAATACTATAGCAAAGGCGTTGTGGGACACAATCGTATCCCAAACTAAACCGATTGCAATATAATTTGACAAAATTTATTTTTGGACCAAATTACGTCACACCTTCACACCTTTGATTAAATATACGATATCGACCGAAAATGTACATGGGAGACATATCCACACCTCAAATAATGTCAATATAATTTGGACAATTTATTTTTATCCCGCAACACAGGGAATCGTGTTTGCTGCATCAAATATGTGAAATCGGCCGAAAATATATAAAGGAGGCAAACCTCAACCGATTTCAACATAAATTGGATTTTTTGGTAGTAAATTTCGGCACTTCTGTCACACATTCTGAATTTGTTTGGAATCGGACATACATATCGTTTTTGGTGCACATGAAATCGGTCGAAATATATATGGAACCTATATCCAAATCTGAACCGATTTCAAAATAATTTGACAATTTGATTATTATTTATAACTCTTTATTCCAAATTTCATTGCAATTTTGGAGCATCAAATATGTTTGGAGAATCAAATATGTGAAATCGACCAAAAATATATATGGGAGCTGTATTTAAATCTTAACCGATTTCAATAAAATTTGTAACATTTATTTCTGTATCAAATTCCGTCACACATTTTGAATTTCATTGGAATCGGACATACATATCGCGTTGGGTTCATCAAATATGTACAATCGCCCAAAAATGTATATTAGAGCTTTATCCAAATCTGAACTGATTTCAATATAATTTGACTAATTTATTTTCTGATCAAAATCCCGTCATATATTTCAAATGTCATTGGAATTGAACATACATATCGTGTTTGGTGCATCAAATAAACGAAATCGGTCGAAAATATATAATAGAGCTATATCCAAATCTGAGCCGATTTCAATATAATTTGGCAAATGTACGTTCGTTTTAATCGATCAATAGATATGTGCATATAAAATCTAAATATTGGGGAGGTATCCAGTTCCAAGTTTTTATAGCCTATGTTACTTTCAGGCGATGTTGTAGTATACTTGGAAATTTTCAGGAAAATCTGCCTAGCGGTTTTCGAGCCCATAAATTACAAACAAACATACAAACATTTCCCTCTTTTATAGATATAGATTTGCCATATTTTGATAAACACTCTCTTTTCTCTCCATTCTTTTTTCCAGTTAATTCTTAATCCCGAACGGATGAGCATTGGTCTACGTGCTTTTCTTGTTGTAGCCGATTCGCTGCAACAAAAAGACGGCGAACCTCCAATGCCGCGTACGGTGCCTGTCCTACCGTCGGGCAATACACTGCGTGTCAAGAAGACCTACATCAATAAAATGCTAACCGATGATACGGCTCGCAGCATTGGCATGTCCACATATTTTCCACATGTGCGTCGTGTCTTCGTCGATATTCTGCGTGCTCTCGACGTTCACTATGGACGACCGCTGATGATGACAAATACACAAAATCAAAACAAGGAACCCGACGAAATGCTATCCGGCGAACGTAAACCACGCATCGATCTCTTTAGGACCTGTGTGGCCGCAGTGCCGCGTCTAATACCCGACACAATGACACCGCAAGAATTGGTCGACCTATTGTCGCGCCTCACCGTACACATGGACGAGGAGTTGCGTATGCTAACACATCAGTCGTTGCAAACATTGGTTATAGATTTTCCGGATTGGCGTCAGGATGTCGTGCACGGTTACACACAGTTTCTGGTGCGCGATGTCACCGACACTTATCCGCAACTATTGGAGAATTGTACACGAATGTTGTTTGTATTTCTGAACATATGGCGCTGTGCCATCAATGTGAACGGTAGCAACGGCAACAATAGCATGCTGAAAACCCCCACCACAGTTGCAAGTTCGATCAATACCACACAGGCTGGTATAGCTACACAGGCTGTGGGCATGGCTGCATCGGTTGCCACCAATATTGTGGGCAAAGACACAGCCACCAGCCAATTGTCAAGTGCTAGCAATGTGAAAAGTATTACAAATACCAATTCAAGTGCTACGTCCAGTATTACCTCGAGTGGCATGTCGAGCATTACTCAAGCCACGGTCATAAACTTGGCGGATAGTGGTAAAAAGAATGAAATTCCCCTGGCTACCACGTTGCATTTTGTCGAAGGCTATGCCTTAGTACTGCTCTGCAGTTATCGTCCATATCTACGTAAATTGGCCGCAATGATTTTGAAAGAAGTGAAAAATCTCATGAAGGCATTGGGTATACCGGAAACAGAGCCGCCGCTATTGGATGTTATTGATAAGTGTTGTCCACAGGTAGGTTTTTTTTTGGAAATTGTTTACAGTGGTTATTTTTAAACCCTCCACCATTCTATGGAGGGTATATTAAGTTTGTCATTCCGTTTGTAAATCCTCGAAATACTAATGGTAGACCCTGTAAAGTATATATTTTGGATCAGCGTCAACTTTTAAGTCGATTTAGCGATGTCCGTCTGTTGTAATCACGATATCCTCCGAACGAATTGATATAGAAGGCTACAATTTTCCACACGTGTGTATTTTGCCAGTTTTGCGACCAGCCTTTGGAAAAATACATATGCAGGCCCACGCGTTCGTATATCCCCCATATAACGGTACCTCTCGATATGTTGATGAACTTTTTTTACCGGAATTGTTTCAATAGCCATATAACGATACCTCCTATTATTCGATATTTTGACGATTTTAGCAATATTATTCACCGGAATTGTTTTAAATTTCGTATTTAAAGTTCGTAATGGGTACTACAACCTAAACCAGTAAAGAAAGTCTTAAAGTCGCTTTGCTAATTTAGTAGAACTGCGCATGGGAGAATTCAATCATACACGCTATGATTATAATTATAATTTAAAGTTCAAAAGAATAAATATGCAGAAGCATTTGTATCTTTTAAATTCGGACTTGTATTGCCCATTTGGTGCACAATTAATTTGAAATCGGATAAAAATATAAATGGGAGCTTTATCCAAATCGGAACCGATCTCGATAAAATTTGGCAAAGATATTTCTGAGCTGGAGTGCATATTATGGGAGCTATAGCTATATCTGAACCGATCTTCACCGAATTTGACATACTAGCTTCTACAATCCCACGGCAGCGGGTTCTACGATACCGGATTGACCAGAACGTCATCCACCACAGATCTGTCTCGGTGCGATGTAATGGATGCAGAGAGTGGGTGCACTTCAAGAACTGTTCCGGATTAAGGCGTTTGCGAGACTACAGCGAAAGGGATTATGTTGCGACTTGCTGCAGTAACGTAGTCCCCAGCGAGTCCTCTTCTTCGTCGTCCTCGTCAGAGACGTCGTCGGAGTATGGCACTCCACCGCAGTCTCCAGAACAGCAACCAACACCGCAGCACCTAACGCCACATGTTGCTGTTCCAACTCCGGATTGTGCATCATTCTTGCAATTCAATTGCAACGGACTTCGAGGCAAAATAAATGAGATAGTGGAATTTATGAGTCGGAGGAATATTAAGATCGCAGCGGTGCAGGAAACCAAGCTGAACGAAAATTGCAGCCTACAACGTTGTTATGGTTACAACGTACTAAGGAAGGATCGCACCAGAAGTGGAGGTGGGGGATTAGCGTTCCTGTTACACCATTCTGTTCAGTACAGACCTATCTCGCTTGAGCTAGTCTCTAGTGACCCATACATGGAATGTATGGGGGTAGCAGTCAAGTGTGGAACTGCCGAGGTAGAGGTGCTTAATGTGTATATCCCGCCGATTAATAGCTGTGAACCGCGTTATTTGCCTGATATTAGCCCATTATTGGTAGGCAATAACCGCCTGGTACTAGGGGATTTTAATGCCCACCATGAGTTGTGGCATTCCGTCCTAGGTAATGACCAGAGGGGATCAGTGCTGGCAGAGCAGATTGACTGCTCCACATTCTGCACGGTTAACGAGGATGCCCCCACCCGAATAAGAGGAGAGTGTCACAGTTCGCCAGACTTATCCATAGTGTCACCCGGTCTGATAAATGACGTGACTTGGCAACCCGTCATTTCTCTTGGCTCAGACCATCTCCCGATAATCGTCTCCATAAGCAGGTCGCCCGATTTCATAACCTCTGAACGCCGCACTTTCCTTAACCATGGGAAAGCTCACTGGCCAGAGTTCAGAGAATTCACCAACCGCCGCTTCAGAGAACTGCCCAACCCTTCTGATGTTCGGGTAGCAGAAAGGATTTTCCGAAACATCATCAGAGCTGCAGCCGCTCGCTATATACCTACTGGTCGAATACCCGAGATAAGACCAAACTTCCCAGCAGAGGCAGCGGGATTAGCAAACGAGCGTGATGATCTCCGTCGTGCCAACCATACTGATCCTAGAATCATTGATTTGACAGTGGAAGTCAACCGGTTGGTACAGGAGCATAAGAGGAAAAAGTGGCTAGACCATCTGAAGTGCTGCAACATTGGAACCGAAATGAGTAAGCTGTGGGTAACGGTTAAGTCGCTCTCGAACCCTGGAAGAAAGGATGATAGGACCTCAGTCACTTTTAACGACGTAACGGTGACTGATCCGAAGAGGTGCGCGGAATATTTTAACCGACAATTTGTCGAGCACCCCGAGAGCGATAGGGCGAAGCGAAGAGTACTACGTCGTATCAGATCTCTTCCCGCCGAGGAGGAACCACCACAGTTTACGATGGATGATGTTGCAAATGTCATCCGTAACGCTAAGTCATCCAAAGCGTTGGCGGACGGAATCTCAATGGTAATGTTGAAGCAGCTGGATACGCCGGGAGTCGAGTACTTAACGAAAGTTCTCAATTTGTCGCTAGCCACCCACATAGTGCCCGAAACCTGGAAAATGGGCCGGGTGGTCCCGCTACTGAAGCCAGGCAAGGATGCCAGTAAAGGCGAATCGTACAGGCCGATTTCGCTTTTGTCGCCAGTAGTAAAGACTCTTGAGGCTTTACTCCTCCCCAGCATTAGAGGAAGCTATGCAGTTGCCAACCACCAGCATGGATTCCGTCCACAACATAGTACCACAACAGCATTACACGCCATTTCCACACATATTAGTAGAGGACTGAACCAGAACAGGCCGTGTGACAGAACAGTGTTGGTAGCCCTTGACCTATCAAAGGCATTTGATACGGTCAATCATGCCACACTGTTTGAGGACGTACAGAGAACTACCCTCCGGCTAAGTTTGAAACGTTGGATAATCAACTATATGTGTGGACGCCAGTCGTACGTGGAATTCCGGAACAAGAAGTCCAAAGCCCGTAGAGTGAAACAGGGAGTTCCCCAAGGCGGGGTGATATCTCCGGAACTGTTTAACCTCTACCTTTCCGGAATTCCTCGCCCTCCAGACGGCATTGAGATCGTAACGTATGCGGATGATTGTACGATCATGGCGTCGGGTCCAGTGGTCGATGACATATGCGAAAGGTTGAACCCCTATCTCGCGGAGCTTGCCGCATACTTCCACGCGAGGAATATGAAAATATCCGCCACGAAATCAACGGCCACACTCTTTACCACATGGTCTGCGGAGATGAGAACACAGCTGAATGTTCAGGTCGAGGGGAGTCTAATACCGACCACGAACTACCCCAAGATTCTTGGGGTAACGTTCGACAGCATGTTCAAGTCGTCCGCGCAAGCCACAGCTATCTGCGACAAGATGAAAAGTAGGAACAAGGTCCTCAAGGCGCTAGCCGGCAGCACTTGGGGTGCGGACAAAGAAACCTTGTTGACCTCTTATAACGCGATAGGTCGGTCTGTGGTCAACTATGCGGCTCCAGTGTGGTCTGCGAATACTAGTGCTACGCAGTGGAAGAATATCCAGACCTGCCAGAACGCTGCCCTGAGAACTGCGACAGGGTGCCTCCTCATGACACCAGTGGACCATCTACATGAGGTGGCGAAAGTCCTTCCCTTACGTCAGCATAATCATATGCTTTCGTTGCAGTACCTGCTTGGGTGTTACCGTGAGAGTCATCCCAACCATCATATGGTGGATAACTCTCCCCCACCCAGGCGTGTCAGGAAGGACATACATGATCTAGAGAGGGAGGTCCAGCGCTACAAGAGAGAGCCTCTAGATCAAGAAGCCTATCAGGCAGGTCTGAGTGGCATTCACACCGATGCAGTCGCGGATGCTATTAGCAGTTATAAAGTGAATGCCGTCCTCGGAGTCCACACCCCATCCATTGCAGCCGAAGAACGTCAGCTGCCTAGACAAACCAGGGTAGTTTTGGCGCAATTACGTTCAGGATGGTGTAGTCGCCTCAAGTCGTATTGGGCACGAATTGATGAAGATGTGCGTGACGCCTGCCCGGCGTGCGATACAGGCCCGCACAATACGCTACACCTTTTTAATTGCTCAGCCAAGCCTACCCAACTCACTCCAGAGGATCTCTGGCTACAGCCCGTTAAAGTAGCCGAATTTCTCAACCCTGAGCTGGAACCAGATTAGCAGAACACAAACACACACATGTACTACTGCTACAACAACAACAACTAGCTTCTAGACTCAATTCGTTCGTAAGTGCCAAATGTCATCCAATTTGGGCAATTATTACACGTTTGGTTCACAATCAAAAGTAAATTGGACGAAGTTATATGTGGGAGCTATATCCAAATATGAACCGATCTCGATAAAATTTAGCAAAGGTTTTTTCGAGCTTCATTTGATATATTTCCCCAAATATTGTTGTTACAGAGTGCATATTAAGGATGCGGAGGACAAAAATAACAAATCGGATGAACAATATATATGGGAGCTATAGCTATATCTGAACCGATTTTGATCAAATTTGGCATACTTATTTTCAGGTCCAATCTGATCGTACGTGCAAAATTCCATACTAGGCAAATCGGACGATGATATATATGGGAGCTATATCTAAATTTTGACCGGTTATCTCCAATTTCAATAGGAGTCGGATAGGGCAATAAATGCGAACTGTACTTTGTTTACAAAAATACATGGACAGTCGGACGGACGGACATGCATAAATCGACTCAGAATGTTATTCTATGCAGATCATCAAAAGGAACTATATGTCTATCTCGTTTGCTTTTGCTTGTTACAAACAAATGCACAAAGACATAATACCCTGACCACCTTGTGGTGTAGGGTATAAAAATGTACGCATAGCCCCAACGTTTTTAATTTAAATGGGTCTTGAGGATTTTTATTTTAAATTCAAGTTTCTATCAAAAGGTGGAAGGTTAAGTTAGGTTAAAGGAAGCGTGGTTGCCTTTTGATAACCTCTCCACTCGGAGACCTGCTGGTTCATTGTGTTCATCC